GGAGGAGAAGGGGTTGTGGTGTGGCCATCCCCCCTGGGAGGTGATTTCTCGCTTTCTGTCTCTGTCTCTGTCTTTCTAAAGAGCACACGTGCCCTATAGCAAAAACCTCTTAAAAAAATCACGCTAGTCCAGCAGGTGGTGTGAGGTGCTGGGCTCCCACATGGTTGACTACGGTTCAAATCCCAGACTTGGCAGCTTGCTTTCTCATTTTTTCCTTCTTTCTCTGGTAGATTAAAAAATAATGATAATAATACTAGATAAATTTTATTTTAAAAAAAAAAGAAAATCATACTGGGCACATGTGTGTGTGTGTGTGCCCAAAATCCCCAGAGGAGAACGGAGAAGTGATAGTGGCATATCCTCCCTGGGGAGTGATTTCTCACTTCCCATCTCATTCTCTTATTCTCTCTCTCTGGTGAGCACACATGCCCTATGGCAAAAACCTTAAAAAAAGAAAAAAGAAAAAAGAAAAGAAAGAAGGAAAGAGATTCTGACCCTGCTATTTTTAAAAATAATTAATTACTTGTTTTTATTTATTATTTTTTATAGAATTATTTTTTAATTAATTCATGTATTTATTTATTTTAATTTGACCAGAGAAGGACAGAGCAAGAGAGGGAAAGTGAGAAAGCAAGCTGCCAGATCCGGGACTCAAACCGTGGTCAGCCATGTGGGAGTGCAGTGCCCTTAACCCCCACACCACATGCCAGTCCCTATTATTATTATTATTTTTAATTTGACCAGAGAGAGATGGAGAAAGAGAGAAAGAGAACATGAGAAAGCAAACCTCCAGGTCTGGGACTCAAACCGCAGCCGACCTCGAGAAGGCCGGGGAATGAATTGCGGCTCACCACCTCGTTGGGGGTGCGGTCTCTCTCTCTCTCTCTCTCTCGCTCGCTCACGGAAGAAACAGTAAAGAAACGCTTCGAGATAACGAAATGCATTTGCTGCCTTTTATTGCTGAGTCCTGTTCTACCCCGGCTCGTTGCTCCGGTCAGCTGTGGGTGGAGGTTTGGGTGGTCCTAAGGCGAATCACCTTACCGCGAATTAAACTGCTGCGCATAGACTTGCGCGAATCTGCATGTGGACGGAATCTATTTTCACTTCTCTTGGGTAGCTCTCCAGGGGCAGGTCACAGAGCAGGTGAAGGTTTCACCGTATTCAGAAACTGACATTTCCTAAGGGGTCACGCCGCCATGTCCTGCACCCCCCCCACAATGTGTAAGGCTCTGTGGTTGATCTGGGAGAGAATGCTAGACCCAGGGGAGACTTGAACCCTTCCTGAGGCCAGATAGAAGGGCTTCTTCGGGAGCGGAGTGGGAGGGGAGGAAGAGAAGGCGGGCGCTGAGGAGCACTGAAGCAGATAATGGAGAAAAACAGGGAGAAGCGTCAACACGTGCTCGATAACCTTTGCTTCCATGAGACAGGAGATCGGGAAGCATGTTTGAGGGAGTCCCTGCATTTTCATTCATTAATTTACTTTCAGTTTTACCATAGGGCATATGTGCTCGCCAGGGAGAGACAGAGAGAGAGAACCCCCGCCGGGGGGATGGCCACGCCACGATCCCTTCTCTCCCAGTCTCCTCGGGATTTTGGGCATGCGTGCACATGTGCCTGGTGTGAGTTTTAAACCTCTGGGTCCAGGAATTGAACCACATGATTGGCCATGGGATCCAGTTCTAGTGTCTTAACCTCCATGCCACCACTGGTCCAACTCTCTGAGTAAAAAAAAAACAAAAAAAAAAAAAAAAATTACTTAAATTAAATTAATTATTATTATTATTTAATTTGTTATAGGGCACACAAGCTCACCAGAGACAGAGAGAGGGAAAGTGAGAAAGCAAGCTGCTGGGTCCAGGACTCAAACCGTGGTCATCCAAGTGGGAGTGCAGTGCCTTCATCAACACGCCACCTGCTGGGCCCCTGGAAACTTTTCGTTAATGACACGTATATGCATGAGAGAGAGAAAGAGGAGAGAGAGAGAGAGAAAGCGCCCCCAAGCCACGTGGGTCATACAGAGATCCTCTTTCCTCCAGTTCTACATCCCATCAGGATCCTGGGCGCACACATGCATGCCTGGCGTGGTTTTCAAGCCAACGGGGCTGGGATTCGAACCCTGGTCAGCCACGTGGGATCCAGCTTCCTCTGTTACAGCACTTAACCGGGATGCTATGGGGCTGGCCCAACGTTTCTGATCATTGGAATTACCTAGGAAAAGGAGCAGGAGCCCCGAGACAGTGACAAGGGGCAGAGTGGGTGACAAGGTCACAAGGAGGCGGAGGGAGGAGGGCAGGGCGTGGGAGAGCCAGTCTCAGTGACTGAGAGGTTTCATTCATGTCTCTCACCCGCGGTCATTTCTCAATCACTTCTCGGAGAGGCCCAGTAGGCTTGTTCTGGAAACCAAGGAGCGGAGGCAGGGAGGACACTGTCTAGTCATCCTTGACCTGTCACCGCAGTGACCTCACCGATGACACCCAATGGGTCATGTGGCCACCGTCCTTGGGGCTGAATCAGCAAATCACTGGTGACCTCGGAGCCCAGCCAGGCCTTCCTGGATGGACCCGCACGCCCGCCACTTCACCCTCTAAGGAAATGGCCTTGAAACGCAGGAGCTGTCCTTCCCTGCCCGCCCGTCCCCAGCCCAGGAAACCCCCTCTGATCCCAAGGACTCTTCCCAGGGAGCTGAGGAGTCTGGGGAAGCCCCGAGGGGTTCTCCGAAGCTGGGAGGAGCCACCCCCTCCTTCATTCAGCTCTGAGCAGCCCCTTCTCCAGCGGCCTGGCCTTCCAGACCTCCAGGAGGGCCCTGTTCTTGTCTCTCTTGTGTCCCCAGAGCAGACTCAGGTGCCTCGAGGGGACAGGCTTGGCAGACGCGGGCAGAGAACCCAGAGTTCAAAATCAGCGCTTGCTCCTCGCTGCGTGGGGGTCGCGTGCACTTTGCCTCTCTGAGCCTCAGTGTTTGTTTTCTTTTTCTTTAAGAATTATTTATTTATTTAAAAGAATGATCTTATTTTAATTTGACCACAGAAGGATAGAGCAAAAGAGAGAGAGAGAGAGAAAGTGAGAAAGCAAGCTGCCAGGTCCAGGACTCAAACTACGGTCGGCCATGTGGGAGTCCAGCGCCTTTAACCACCACGGCACCTGCCGGGCTTTCTATTTATTTAATTTTATTAATTATTATTATTCTGGGACCAGCAGTTGGCGTCATGACTACATCGCCGGACTCCCACGTAGTCCGACTATGGTTCAAGTCCCAGATCTGGTGGCTTAAACTCACGCCGGGCATGTGTGATGGGATGAGATGAGAATGCGGCAGAAG